AATTTGAAATGAACTTGGGAAAATCTATTAGATAAGTTGTTTCCTTAATTTTGCCCATTCTAGACTCTGTGATACTGATTGTTCAGGATTACTGAGCATATGTGCGTAATGAGAACTGTACATAATTTACTATAAATACTTACATACAATAAACAATAAAGGATATATGTGTCTAGTAATAGCAGATGCTAGTTTCTGCTCACTAAGGAAATGATTATAACTTTCAATAAACATGGTTAAGGGAATGATGTTAAGATTACATATGTGTGTGCATATATATATATATGCACATTTATACTTTGGATTTCAACTGAATATTTCAAATATTCACTGTCTCAGACAACTTGCAATGGGATCTCTACAGCTTTAAGAAGTTAATTATTAATCATAAATTTAATTCTTAGGATCTGATCATTGTGGTAGGATTTGCCAGTTTCTTGCTACATCTGTTCACCCTTTTCTCTTTAGAAACAAACCAGATTTTTTAGTTGGTTATATTGCTGCCCATAATAAAAAGCATATTGCCTTCCAGATTTTGCAGCTAAATTTGGCTATGGGACTAAGTTCTGATCTTGAGCTGTTTAAGGGAAATATTTGTGGGAGTTCTCTGAAGATTGCTTAAAGGAAACTCAGTCAGGTGGAAGTTCTGTTTGCCCTACCTTTTCTCTTAGCTTTTAGCCTAAAAATCAGTGACGGCTGGAGTGCCAACAGCCATCATGGAACATGAGTTGACCCTGAGGGTGGGAAGCAAGATGCCTGGATTGCACATAAGAAATAAAGGAACTTGAGTGCTTGAGAAAATTGTGGAGCCACTGTATTTACCTGTAACTCCTACCTTCAGACTTTTTCTATTTGTGAGAGAAAAGGGGTTTGTATCTTATTTAAGTCATTGTTATTTTTGTTATTGTTGTTAAGCAAGAATTCTAGTGGAACTAAAAGTAGAACTTGGAACCTGGCTATATCCGATGAGCCTATGGATCAGCATTCCTCACTATCAACTATTACTATCTGCTGTTAAAGATGGATGAGAATGTATTTCTCTAAACAAGGAATGACTTAAGCCCACATATGGCTAATTAATATTGCCTGTATTTCTTTCTATCCTGTGAATTTGTGTCCATGTTCTCTCTGGAGATCACCATTTCAGGTTGTGGTATTCTATTTTTATGGTAGGATGGGCATTATATGTCCATATGGTAGGAAAAATAAAATCTTGTTTGGAATTGTGAATCAAGTGAATTCTCCTTTGTGCATAGACAGGAACCGTGTTAAATTTCCCATGTAAGATTGTTAAACAGTCAATTCATTCATTCAACAAATATTTTTGAGCCATTATGGGTTGAGTAAGCCATGAGAGGCCTTTGTTATTTAGTCAACTCATGTCTAACATCACAGGGTTCGTTTGAGAATTTGGGGAAAGTAAAAAAGAGGAAGAAAAATTGAGCCAAATGACAAGTCTAAATATTTTTTCCTAAACAACTGTCTTTTAAAAAATTTTTCTGTATTTAAAGACAGGACTATAACCTGCATTTTCCCAGATGGCACCAGGCTGTTAGTACACATATTAATGTCAAATATTAAGGCTCAAATCATAAGGGTCCACAGCTGCCTCTACAAAATTTCTTAAATGCTCTTGCCACAAAGTCTCCTACTCTTTTTTGGGAGACCTAGGGGAAGCGTTTCACATATGTATATGGCCAGTTAGCTAGTTTGCTCAGATTATTTACCTACTGGTAGCTCTGGTGCTTGCAAAATCTAAAGGTAGAAGTCCCACCATTCTCTTCTATGTCAGGACCTTCCAGAACACTACTATTCCAATAGGAGGCCATATGAATATTCTCTCTAGGTTATAAATCCTCACACTGCCAAATGATGCTGCATCCACTTTAAAATGCACCATGCTGGAGACTGACTTGTTCTACAGAAATGAGGAGACTATTTCTCTAGCCAATTCTGTCAGCTTAATGTACTACTGCTTACATCCTGAGTATCACAGAGTCTCTTATAAAAACATTTCTTTGTGCTCTTATTCATAGCCCTGCATCAGGTATCTTCTATTGTGCTCTTTCTCTTGTATCTCCTTTGGAGGCACCCAGGGAATGAAGTTTTATCCCAGCAGTTCTTTATTCTCCCATGCACATTAACTCATTTTAATAATTGGCAGGGAGGGCTACTGCTCTATCAGTTTATCAGACATAAGCAAACCCTGAATCCTAGTTTGAGCTCAGCTGGGATCCTTGCTCCACAAGAACTTGACATGGCCTCTAGGTTGCTTTGATAACAGAGCTAGTTGAGAATAAAGCTATAATTTATTGATAAAATATACATACATATACATAAACATACATACACACACACAGTTATCCCCTTTTATCCATAGGGGATACATTACAAACCTCCAGTGGCTGTCTGAAACCACAGATAGTACCAAACTCAGGATATACCATGTTTTTTCCTATACATTAGTACCGATGATAAAGTTTAATTTATAGTTCAAATTTAAAGTTAATTTAATATCAGGCACTTAATAAGTTATTAAGTTATATAAAAATAACTAATAAAATGGAAAAATTATAATATACTGTAATAAAAGTTATGTGAATGTGATCTCTCCTTCTCTCTCTCAAAATATTTTGTTGTACTGTACTCACCTATTTTCAAATCATAGTTGACCAGGGATAACTGGAACCAAGGAAAGCAAGACCGTGGATAGGGGGGACTACTATATCTCACATATGTATACATATATGTATAACCATATACCACAAAACTTGTAACTCATATTAACATGCTTATACCATAGTCAGTGCCATTTTCTCATTAAGTCATCTCTTTCAGTTGCAAAACACAGTACTAAAGGAATGGCACATGCAATAACATGTATTTTACTTATTCTGTGCTTATGAAAATTTGAATGAGTAATATATTCAGTTATAATGTTCCCTTAAGCCACTGTTTTGCTACATGCTGGAAAACCTTCTATACATAGTTCTGATACTTTTTGGATTTATTTTAAAGGTGACCCAGTTAGTTTTTCTCTTTTGTAGTCTCTCCCTATAGTAAATGTAGCTACTATGACAATGAGTAAAAGAAATATGGATGGGTAGAGGAGAGATAGAGAAGCCAGTACTTATGCAGATAAACACGATATGAAAACAAGGATCTGCTCTTAAATTATTTACATAGAAATAATAACAAGGAAACAAAATGACTTCCTGAAGCACATTTATCTCCTGACTGGTTGCAAAGAACACATTTTATCTGTTTTTTTAAAATGAAAATCTTAACCATCTAAATTTAGGGCTGTGAAGCATGTTTATAACAACTCAGGAGCCCTCAACAGTAATAATCACAGTACTAAAATGCTTACTTTCTAGAAAGTGGTTAGAACCACTCAAAAACATTTTATCAGAGTAACTGGTTAGAGATATATTAGAAACATACATTTTTAAAATGATGCAAAATATCATGATGTCTGAGAAGTCCAAGTTTATAAACTGTATTCAACACCATCAACTGTAGTGGAAAGAAAGTTTCAAAGCGTGAAAATCCAGAGCAATTGTTAGTAGCATGAGTGGTAGGATTGAAGTAAATAGAAAGAAATGGAAGGCATTTGCTTAATCTATGATCTTGTTGAAAGAAGGGTCCCAGCACAGTAGCTTTTTCCTTTTAAGACTAGCCAGATGTAGGCCCTTTTAAGGGCATAAAGAATGGAGCCACAGAAAGAGATTAAAAATGTTGGGAGAGAATGGCAGAATACAATAAGGTTTTTAAAACGGAGAGACATCTATGTAGAGTAAAGGTGACTCAGGCAAAATACAAAAGCTGTTTCCTTCTCAGTCATTTATGCAAAAACTTGTACTAAATAAAAAGGTGCAAGGCATATATTAGCAATTCCTATTATCTAGTACTTTTATTGACCTGGCATGATTAGCAGAAACTATTTAGGCAGAATTGTCAACTATATGCTTTTTCATCAGCCTGATGTTTGATCTGCAAGCCCTCTAAAACTAATAGCAAAAGTGAAACACTCAGAAATTTAGGAAGTTTTAGTTGGCAATCAGGTGTTAGCCTACTCTGTGAGGTTTATTCTTCATCTTGGAAGCTAGGTGGCTGTTGCTCTTTTTCGATAGCCGCCAAGGAGCAAAGTCTTAGACCTGTTTGGCTGCTGTCGTGCCTAGAAGAGTTTGGCAGCCCTAGGGAGATGAATTTCTTCAGCGTTGGATCCACCCAGAGCCGAGAAGCAACACCCTCTCAGCCACTACTCTGTTGCTATGAAACAAAAGACTAGGGAGGTGAGCGAAGCAGGAAGTCCCGCCTATTAGCCCCTGTCGGCTTTGGCTCCCGCACCCGACGCTCACGCCCACCTGCCACCCCTTATTGGTTAGCTCCCCAGTGCTTTGCATCCCTTCTTCCATTTCCTTTCCCTTTTCCACTTTCGTTCCCGGGCGAGTCCAGGCCCTTCATTTCCTTCTGAGTACCTTTCCATTCGTACGTGCGACGAGCGGGCCTTCCTTTGGGGCCATTGTGTACTGTGGAGGACGTGGACAGGGTGGTAGCGCGGCAGACGGGCGCCTCCCGCCCATTGGCTCCGCCCGCTGTCGGGCTGTGCGCGGGCGCGCGGGATTGGCCGAAGGGCGCGCGGCCCCGCCCTCGGTCCCGCCCCGTGCTGGGTCTCTGTGTATGTTGCTGGGGTGGGGTGTCCAGTGAGTGCTGCTGCGGCGTCCCGCGGCCTCCCCGAGAGTCGGGAGGGAGGGGAGAGCGGGTGTGGATTTGTCCTGACGGTAATTGTTGCGTCTCCACGTCTCGGCGGCCTGCACTCTGGGTCGCTCCTTATTCGGGACCGTGCTATCACAGCGATTACACACTCCCCGCCCCGGCTACCCACACACCCTCGGCTGCGTGCGTGTAGAGTCGGACCCGCGCTCGCGCGTGTCTCCGGACCGCTACGGCGCCGAGAGGCAAGGAGGGAAGGGGGCGCCGGGGAGGCTCGGCACTTCCCACCGGCTCTGGGGCCCAGGGGCAGCCAGGCGCGGACCACAGAGGGCGAGGGCAGAGCCCCGGCTTTCAGCGGCCGTGCCTGCCGCCGTCCAGTTTGAAGTGGGGCATTTAAAGACCGGAACCCGGGCAGGCTGGGGCAGGAGGAGGAAGGAGCGCCGGAGACGGGCGGCTCCGATCGCAGACGGCGGGAGGCGCGTCCACCCGGGCGCCGATCCCCCAGCGCCCGAGGCGGACGGGGCTGCGGGCGCCGGAGCAGCCGGGGGATACTTTGTCCTCTCTGCGTTCACCTTCCTCCCCAGCTGAGGTCCGAGAGAGGCAGGGCCCTGAGCGGGCAAGGGGCACAGACGTCCTGAAACAAAGCTTTGGGTGAGACTAGAGGCGAGGACTGAGAGAAGTGAACTCTCTTCTCCTTTCTGTGCCGGCTCTTGTCAGTTTCTAACCCGGTCTTTTGAAACGGGCTATTTGTTTGTTGTTTTATTTGGCTCTTGAGAATAACTACTCACCGCGTTGGCTTAAAGAACTGTGTGTTTGTGTGTCTGTACTTGGAGGTTTTAATGGGAGAAATCCAAGTCCTACGCCTTTGTTGACAACAGACAGACCTGTCCCTTATGCTTGTGTAGAATAATCTTTACGTTTATATAACTTGGAGAAATCTGGCAGGGTGAAATGAGGGCTTTTGAACGCGGCTCTCAAAACGTATGTCTTCTAGGGGCTTCAGTTCTAGTATTTTGAAGTGGGATTTAGGCAGAAGGGGCAGAACATTTGATGTGTTCTTGGAGGAAACCTATTGAAGTTTTTTTTGTTGGTGTTGTGAGTTGGGTATTAGTTTAGCCTTAGCTACTTGAAACATGACGAGGATGCATCTTTAACTCTCAGTATTCTAAAAGCAATTCTAGGGCCATAGCGCCTAAACCTACAGTGTGTAAAGATTGAGAGTGTAAATTCACAAGCTTATGGAAAAGTTGAATCTGGGCCCCTTGGTTTTGTTCATATTGTTGGAGAGGGATGTAGTGGTTGCAAGTTAACTTGTTTGGTTTTCTTGTGAGTAAATATTTTCATAACCAACTTTTTTTTTTAATCTGCCTTTCAAAGAACTAAGATTCCAGATGGCAAACTCTATGAATGGCAGAAACCCTGGTGGTCGAGGAGGAAACCCCCGAAAAGGTCGTATTTTGGGTATTATTGATGCTATTCAGGATGCAGTTGGACCCCCTAAGCAAGCTGCAGCAGATCGCAGGACTGTGGAGAAAACTTGGAAACTTATGGATAAAGTGGTAAGTTCTGACTGTGCATGTATGTAGCTCTTTTCACCTTGGATCTGGTTTCTCCAGATTTACTTATAATATTAATAATTGTTATAGCAACAATATTTTAATTTGTTTTGATCACTTTTCTACCATTCTGTGTGTTTTGAAAAGTTGGATTCAGAGCAAAATCTTTTTATTTTTTATTTTTTACCTTTTGCCCTTCTTACTCTTGAAGGTTCAGAGTTCCTCTATATGACTCAGTATGCAAAGTTTTTACCATTGGCTGCTTTTTGTTGATATATGGCCATAGTATGTTTGGAAGTGTTTGTTCTGTCTTATATGAGGTTGTGTTGCTTTTAGATAACAAAAGAGTACAAACAAGTTATTTAAGAAAAGTTTCTAATGGACCACTCATGACAACCAGATGTGTCTGATACTGAAAATATTTACTGAGGAAAGAACCAGGTTAGTCCTTAGGTGAGGAAGCAGTGAGTTGAGAGAGTTTCCATTTTCATCTTTGAGAAATCATGTTCATTAAGAAACTTTTTTGTTATTAATGGTAGAGTTACAGTTTCTTTCATCTATTCCATTTTGAAACAGGAAACCTTTTGATTGCACATTGTTTATTGTGAAAGGAAAATATATGTTGGGGGTGGTGGGACTGAGTGTATGAGAAACCTCTGTGGTTTTATCATGTTGGTTTCAGATGAACTATAATTTCTCAAGAAGAAATCAAGATGGATGTCAGTATCCAAAGAAGTACAGTTAAAAGGTCTACTTGAATACTTTGTACTTCATATAATACTCAGAAAAGTACAGCTGTCAGTATCCTATCTTACTAAGTAGGATTATGAAATCAATTTGATGAAGAGGAAGTTTGCTGCTTTGCAAAAATTACTGATTTTTGCTTTTGAAGCAGTAGCACTCATCAAAATGTTTATTTTGGTAAATGTTTATAGCACCGTATGGCAGTATTTCTTAGATATCTGGGGCTACTTATAAATTTAGTTGAAGCAGGACTCTTTTTATTGTTATAACTGCAGAAATGGAGGTTTAAGGAAATATTTCTTTGTAGGCATGTGCCAAAGCCTCCATGAAGTCATGTGGTAGCATTCCCCTTTACTTTGGTTTGTTACTCTGTACAAATACTGGCTACAAAAAGCCACCATGAGTAGTAGTAGTAGTACAGGAGGGTGAGGAGATTTACTTTATCTTCATGTATCCTTATGGAAATTACACATAGATAGATGAATGATGGGCTTGTCATTCTACTGCTGGTGTTGCTAAAAGAGAGCCAGAATAGTTTTGCCAGATAAATATCCTTAGTTTTGGTCTTCAGTGTGACCTATTTAAGCTTCTGCCAATTTATTCAAATTGTTATATTAAAGTGCTCCAGACAGAATGATGTCATAGTGTCAGAACATTGCAACTTGCTGCTTGGGGTCAGGTTTTGATTTTAGCATTGGTTACTTAAGAATAAGGAATATGCAGTTGGAAAAATAGCATATATTTGGCAAGCACAATACTTGCTCTCTTTGCTTTTCTAAAGGGGATGCATTTGAAGGTCACTCCCATTGCCTAAATCATTAGTTGGGGGTAAGAGAAGGAATTCTATGTTTTCTTTTATCTGTTATATAAGTGGGCAACTGATGGATCAGATTCTATAGGGGAGCTGCCCCTCCCACCTCCCTTCTTTGAGTGGTCAAAAGTTGTACATTTGTGAGGGTTAGAACATCAGATCAAAAAGATTTATATAAGGAAGTGGTAAGCTGTAGTTACCATATAGTCATTATTTTTGAAACATTAAAAACTGGTGTGCATAATTTTTGTGTATAACTGATTGTTAACGTAAGTTTTATCCACTTTTAATTATTTCACCATGAGTTATGGTAAAGTAGATGGTTATTTCATAATTAAGTATCTGCTATTGTTTATTTTATTAACCCTTTTGTGGGTTTGGGTTTAGCCTCTCTAATTGAGAAACTTGACTCACATGGAAATCTATTATCCAAAGTCTCTACTTAGTGGGATGTGGGTGTGGGTATTGGCAAAGGTGCATTGCTATGGCTTTCCCTGCTTGTCTTCATTGTTTGTCTAAGATGAAAATGATTGTGTTCATTTGTGGAGGTATCCATGGGCTTTGTGGAGAGAAGTTGCATAAAATATTATACAAGAATTCAGTGTATTTATTTTTACTCTATCACACAATAATATAATAAAAAGGCATTGACAATTACTAATTTGCCATATATTTTATTTAAGTGTGTAGTTCAGAAATATTCCCCACTTGTGTTTATCTTTTCTTATTTGTCAGTGGTGAAGGAAGTGGCTCATAATATCAACATTGTCCTGATGATTACATCAGGAACTTTATTATTAGTCCCAAAGTTAATCTCTTGACTTATTACCTAACTGTTTTTAAAATAACTTCAATAGAATGAGTTTAGCTTATGAATAACAGAAAATAGCAACTTTCAAGTCTAATTGGTAGTTATATAAAAGGCAGGGTGAAGTATATATTTGTTATTTTTTCCTTATGAAGGCTCTTCACAAGAGCAGATCTTAGAAGTATAAATATGAACACAAGCTTTTCAAGTTTAGTGTGTCTCAGCTACCTACAAAGTAAAATAACTTGTTTTATAGGGAACAATGAAACAGTCTTTGGCTGTAGGGGAAATATCTAGTAAGTGTGTAGTTGTACCATTTCTTGGCCTCTAGAATTTAAAATGGTCAACCCAGAGATTCCAGTTTCAACTAATTGTTCTGTTTTCAGAGGGCAGGCATTCTCTCCAAGGTCACTGAGAATATGAGAAAGTTATTGCCCAGTTGCGTTCCTTTTAAGATGTAGAGTGTTTTATAATAGAACATCAGTAACACAGAGTTAGCATGGTATATGTATTAAGAAAAGAAATAGTAGCATATCTAAAAGCTTCCCATTTAGACAGATATTGTAGCCTTAGCTCTGTGTTTCAGTGTAGGTCAATAGCTGATCAGATGCCTATTTGATATAGTGACAGAACTATTACTCATGAATACATATCTAGGTTCACATACACCCAAAATGAAATTTGGGTTCCAAAGCTATTAAAGAGACAGAGTTTCTTAAACACTCAATGAACATTTATTGAGTGTCTACAATGTTCCTACTGAGCACTTATTATGGGAATGCAAAGCTAGATAAGACATGGTCCTGCCTTCAACTTGTCAAGGAACTCAGAGAATAGCATCAGAGCCAAGCATATAAATGGATAATTGCCATGTAGTATGGAAAGGGCTGTTACAGACCTACACAAAATACAGTGGGAGCAGAGTAGAGAACATTCACCTTGTTTTTCTGGCCACTCTTCAGACAGTTTTCTGTCTGGATTCTGCTGGCCATTGCCTTTTAGGAACAGCATTATTGGCTCTTGTTGGAAATGCTGAGGTGAGGGTAAGGAAATGATTGCTAATCAGTATGGTTGGAATGATTATTTATTAATGTGAGGTTCCTGAGTGTGGTTTTCACGAGAGTCTTAGCCAGGTGATGGAAAATAGAGAAACAATTTTCCATCTAAGAGATGCTAAATGTACTGAGCACACATGGATAATCAGGAAATTAGAAAATAATTAATTGATGCTAAACAGCAAAGGAAGTTGAGTACCTGCCTATGTTTTGTCTTGCTGTCCTTGTCATTTATTTGCAGTTACATTACTGAAAGAATTTTAAAAGCATTTTGGAAAGTGATGATGCCAAACAACCTTTTTTCTGCCTTTTATCCTCTGTACATTTAATACATCTGTCAAGCTTGAAATATAATTCATTCTCCATCTTTTTTATTTAATTGTGACCATAATGTATTTTAAAGTTTGTCAATCAAAGATGTTTGGATTATATTCAGGCATATTTTTTAAAGAGCAAGTATTCTTTTCTATGTTGAATTCCTCATACCTCTGAAAAATATTCTGTGTGAAGTAAGACTTAGGTTTTGGATGCCTATTTTTTGTGTTTGTTGGTTTTGAGACTCTCACTTTCCTACAGCCTTGAAACGGAATATCATTTATTTGAATTATTCTTCTTCACATATTTCCTTTTCACTATTGAAGTTGTTCTATCTTAGCAGAATCATGGGCCAAGTAGACTTGGATAGAGGATAATAACACATGAAATGTCTGGACAATTTTGTTTAGTAGTGAGTTAGATTTTGAATTTGTGTTAAGATAAATGAAGTGACCCCCAAGTTTGCTACTTGTGAATTCTAGGAAAAGCTATGATAAAGTACAAGATTTAAAGGAATACTATCAACAGTTACTTTGGTTTATCCCTGTGATATAAGCTATACATAGAACAGAAGGCTTCATCAGTTAGTAATCTTTAAAATTTTACAAAATTTTTACCATTCAGATTTTGAATCCACTTCTTCCTTTCTTTCAAAAGTTGTTTTTATGTTGTCTGTTGATTTCATAATTCATTTATTAAACCCCAACTATGAAAAGACAGACATTTATAAATAACTATGCCACACAGTAGAATGTAATAACTGCTGTATGATGGTATAAATAAAGTTCTGTGAACGTAGTATGTGGAGGAGGTAAATGTTACTAGGGATGAAAAATTGGTGTAGAATTAAGCATAGAGCAGGTACTTACTATTTAAGTGTTCTTTGAGGGTGGTTTTCATTCCGGTGAGGTAGAAGACACATAAGGCTGAAGGAATGATGGGAACTTGCTAAGTGAGAGAAGGTAAATTAGAGGAACATAATAGAGGATTTAACTGCTCTGTCAAGGAATCTGGACTTTATTTGGTAGGCAAATAACCATTGAAGGCTCTTAAGCAGGAATAGGAAAAGTCAAGGCTATGTTTTGGTAGAATATTCTCTTGACTCCATGAAGGTTTGATAATGAGAAAAAAAAATTAAAAACAAGAATAATGATCAACAGACATTAAAATAGTCTGGGCAAGAAATAATAGAGAGTTGGCCTAGAGAATTGGCAGTAGGTACAAGAAATGTTGGTTCAGATGTGGAAGGCATTTTGGAGGTAAAATCTAC